TGCTTTAAGCAGGGTGGGGAGAGGGTTGAAGGGGAGAGATGACGGGGACGATGTAACTAATGTACAATTTAAGTCTAGTCTGAATTGTCGCTATGAATCCCCCCTGTATAATGAATATATCCTAATAAAAATTATTTTAAAAATACACAGTGCTGGGATGATTGGCTATCCATATGCAGAAAATAAAATTAAATCTCTCCTTCATGCCACATAAAAATAATTTTCAGAAAGGTTAAGGACTTATATGTGAAAGGTGAAATTCTAAAGCTTTTTGAAGAGTATATAAAAATGTATCCTTATGACCTTGGTTTACAAAGTAATTTTATTAAAAGCATTAGCTACAAAATAAACCATTGATGAAATTGACTACATGAAAATGAAGTACTCAAATGTCAGTATGAAAATAATGAGCAGCAAGGGGAGGGAGAGTGTATATTTATATTTGGAACCCTGGAGCATCTCGTAATGATAAAGTGAGGAAGTGCTTATACACATGCACACACACACACACACACACACACACGCACACACATGCTAAAGAAGCATCAGGCCAACTGAAAGAGCTCCCAAAAGCCAAAACTGGAACCATCTGAATAACAAAATAAAGAAGTATTAGGTTAAAGCTCGAGGTATAGAATCCATGAGTCCTGACTGACATAAATAATTGGGGAGAAAATAAAAGCCTCCTACGCTGAAGAGTTCCAAATAATTTAGGTAGTGCCTCCACTCTCAAGGAGGGGGTATAAGTCCCCATCTTCAGGTTTGGGCTGTGCATTGTGACTTCCACCCAAAATGCAAGGTGTGGAAAATATAACTTTATGGAGAAGAAACCTGACCAACACCACAGAACTAGTGTCTTTGAAAATGCTAAAGAACAGATATAGACAGAATGTTTGAAGAAATTACTGGTAAGTGTCTACACTACAATCATGCTGCCTGACACTATGCTCACCAATTGTTTACTTAAGCTTAAATTAAAAAAATTAAAATTCAGTGCTGCATTCACAATGACTTTTTTTCTTTTTTGTGGTACTGGGAATTGAACTCAGTGCCCATGCCCCCAGTCCCTTTTGCTTCAGTTTGTTTTTCAGATAGGGTCTCACGCTTTTGCCCATGCTTGCCTCTGACCCTAATCCTCCTATCTCTGCCTCCTGAGTAGCTGATATTACAGGTGTGCACCACCACATCCGGCTCTGACCACATTTTGATTGTCCAGGAGCCACATGTGGCCAGTGAATATACCATCTCGAGCAGTACTGGTTAAAGAGCATTTCCATCATCACAGAAAAGTCTTGTGGAGCCATAGAAAAACTAAGTAAGCCAAAGGAGAAAATAAAAAAGAGAAAAACGTCCACTCCCAGAAAGCAAACCTTTTTGCAGGAAAAGAAGAATAATCATAACAGATGGGAATCAGCTGTGAATAACCTTTTGCTAAGCAGAATAATGTAAACAAGGAATTCTGAATTATGTATGTGGGACTTTCTCGAGAGTATGAGCAGTGGGAGAGAGGGTGGTGTCTGGCAAAGTTTGGAGTTTGTATGAAAGTCAGCTAAAGCCTCAACCTTCCAGGAGGGAACTTAATAGATGATGCCTTTGACTGAAAAATCAGAAAAGAGCAATGCAGGCATTTTGTTAACTATATAGAGGCACACAACAACACACTCAGTAAAAGGAGGTAAGTGATGCTTCTGTGGAGGGAAAAAATAAGAACCGTGCTGATTTACTTACAAGCCTTGTAAAACTACTTGATCTTTAAATGACATGCATGCATAATTTGATCAAAATAAAGAATAAAATCAAAGAAAGTACAACAAAAAGTCCGCTACAATGCCCCATCCCACCACACCTCGCTTGCTCCCCAGGCTGTTAGGAGAGCCTGGATGGAAGTTCCTTTGTGGGCAACTGACTGCCCCTGCCTTACTTGTACTCAAACCCCTATGGTTTCCCAAACTCTTTAACCAGCCTTTGGCTGGTTTCAGAATCTTTGTGATATTTTGGTATTGCAGCTAAATACAAAGAATGAAGACTCCAATAAAATGTTTAAAAATAATAACGAGAATAAAAATAATAATAGCTAGTATTTATTGAGCTCTTACTATGTGGTACACATAGATAAGAACCTGTCAATAAATCAGGGTTTCAATTTATTCTTGTTCTTCAGAAGAGACCAGGAAAATGGAGCTATCTTTTATCTTTAGAGGGCATAATGCCAGAACAGCACCTGCAGAGTTTAGTAAGGAAGTGACATGGCTTAATTTAGGGTGGTTAGGGGAAATGTAAGCTGCTTGCTGATGTGCTTGCCCCTGTGTGACCATGAGGAAACATGGTAAGTTCTCCTGTAACTCTCACTTCTGGCTTTGCAAACTGTTAGGGCAACCTTCAGCAGGCCAACATAGCTAGAATGTTGGGACTTTGTTTTAGGAGGGATTGATGTAAGAGGTCTAAGCCCCAGGGGTTTTCACGTGGATGCATTTTCACATGGATACACACCTGGCCTCCAAACTTGTTAGAACCTATTTCTGGGATACACACTTCACTGGGAGTGCAGTTTGGGATGCTGTTGAACTGGAGTCTCTCTTTTGACTGCCATAGTATTTCCAAAAGTGACATAGGAAGAGTGTCTGGGTCATTATGTCTGCCAGAAAAACCATAGACTGGGTGGCTTATGAATGACAGAAATGTCACCTTACAGTTCTGGAGGCTGGAATTCTGCCATCAGTGCCAGTGTGGTTGGATCCTCATGAGACTTCCCTTTTGGACTGCACATTACCAGCTCTTGTTTCCTCACATGGTGGAAAGAGGGCAAGGTAGCTTTCCAGGGCCTCTTTTATAAGAGCAATGATTGCTTATAAAAGCCCATCCATGAGGGCTCTATCCTCATGACCTAATCACCCTGCAAAGGCCACACCTCCTAGTGCTATCACATCAGGAGATGATAGAATTTCAAAGTATGAATTTGGGGTTACACAACATTTATCCTATAGCATAAGAGTGAGTATTTTTCCATTAAATTGTACAGATTTTTCAAGGCTGATAATCCCTAACATTACTGAGATGTGTGCACAGCAAATTGGTACAACTTCTTTGAATGGCAACTCAACAATATCCATCAGTTTTCAAAATGTGCCTCAAAACTCTGCCTCAGTAGTTGTACTTCTAGAACTTTACTGTACAGGTATGCAAGGATAGCAATCAGAGATTTTACCGTGTGTTTTGTCTTCCTTTCTTCCTTCTTCTTTTTTTCATTCCCTCCTCCCTTCTTCCCACCTTTCTTCCTGCCTTAGTTAAAAATGTTAAAACAAGCCAGATGTGGTGGCTCTCATCTGTAATCCCAGCACTTGTGAGGCTCAGACAGGAAGACTGAAAGTTCAAGGCCAGCCTGGGCTGCATAGCAAGACCCTGTCTCAAAAACAAAACAAAACAAAAAGTAAAACAACCTAAATGTTTATGAAGCAATGTTATATATTTAAACAAACTATACCCTATCTATTCAATAAAATTATTTGTGGAAATGCAGAAGGATATATCTATGTGAAGTTTCATAAAGGATGCCATTATGTTTTGCTATATAAAATTTAAATTTATGCTACTATCTCTATTGAAAATATCTAAAACTTAACATTGATTTCTTCTAAGAAGGTCTATGCTTATTTTTTACTTTATATAATTTTGTACTATCTGTTTTAAAAATCTATATTATTTTTCAACTTAGCAACATGTTTTTATATCATGCCTTGAACAGTAAGTCACAATTCTGGTTTGTAGTCATCAAATGAATGATGTCATGTACAAATATCCGTTGGTCACAAGATATGTGAGAACAACATAATTAATTAAGATGATAAAATGATGTCAAATACCATTTACTACCTATGAATCACAGATGAGGAGAAAAGGTAAATAAGCTTGAAACATGAAATTATTCCCCAGCATGTAACATTATAAGAATGGTTACAGCATGCTTAGTCTCAAATCCTTATCAAGATAGGAGTGACCCTTTGGGTTTTTGCCTCAATTCAGAAGCAACCTAGAGAAAGAGCAATTGTCTGTACTGTAAAAGCTTATGGTTTCTATGCTGAGTATAAGAACAGACAGATAGAATTAGATTTTAAGTAAAAAATGAAAGTAGCTCATGGGCAAAGAAAGGTGTAAGAGGGAGGGACATCAGGCAGGTTTTAAGAAAATTGCTAGATAATTTTTACAAAGTAAAAATTGCCTAAGAGGACATTATTTCCTCTTCCTGTAGTATCAACTTACTGGTTTCCATTTTATGTGCTCTCGCTGTTCAGAGATTGAACCTTTGAGGGCCTGAATCCATACTTGGCTTCTCAGAGCCAGAAGTCATGAGTTAATAGGAATTCTATGGCCCACTTACATCTGAGAGAGGCCTGCATTCCTAGCAACTGGAATTCCTGGGGAGAAGGTGGTAATGAGTACGATTCATACTCTCTTGTTTAGTAACAGAAAACGGGGCTAATCTTCCTAATTACACCCCGAGGATATCTTATCTAATGTTGCCATCAAATATTGTCACCTATAATTTCATCGCATTTTTGAAAAACTGCTTCTGAAACTTGTTTTCTGCATCTGGTTCCTCAGTTTCTTTCCGAGCAACACCAGTAACGCATATGTGGGTCACCTGGTGACTGTTATACCATAAATATGTTTACCCGCATAAAGATTGGATGAATGGAAGAAAGCCAACAGTTATGGAAGGGTCAAAACTTCTCAAAGTCATCCTTATTTTCTCTAAATTCTTTTGTATATGAGTAGGATACTGAATGAGACTGCAGAAAATGAGAAATTAACCTGAATTTGAGCCCCAGAGGTTGGAAGCTAGGTAAAATCCTATTACATTTGAATAGTTCTAAGCAAGCAATTTGTTACCCTTTATCCTTTAGTGGAATTGATGAACAGGTGTTTTTCAGAAGATCACGCAGTATATTTAGCTTCTGAAATTTGAGCAACTCCAGACCTGATTGGCTGCTCTGGCCACATGATAATTGGGAGAGCAGGCACCACGCAGGCTTTTGCCTGGAGTTCTCAGGAGGGGAGGGCTGGGAGAGGATTTGCTGCTGTGGAGGTTTACTTGAAAGCTCCAAGGTAAGGCCAGTTTATGTATTTTTCTGTAATGTTCCCCTGAGAGAATGTTCCACAACGTCCATTGAAGTGTTTTTCAAAGTTGTGGGTCCTATTAGGGGAAAACAGTGATGAAATGTGGCTCAGAGAATCTATAACCCAACTGCCCTACGAAGGCCCTATTAATATCTGACACGCAGAGTGTATGATTAGTCAAGTCCTGAACTAACCAGTTTGTTGCTTGACCAGATCGCCTCTCTTGTCTTACAAGATTTTTTTTTTCCATTTTTTATCTTCACTTTTTTTTTCCTAAAAATTTAAGGGTGAGAAAGGATCTCTGTCCAATGTTCCTATATTTATCTTATTCTACTGGGCTTCTTTTGCCTCAGAGGAGTGGCAGTTTCGCTAGCTTAACAAAACCAGCCACTGCAGGGTATTGGTTTACACAGCAAGCATCTTTGGGCAAAGGCACAGCTGCTCCAAGCCATCACCCACTTGTACGGAAAGTCCCACTTGCTGGCGTCAAACTGGAAGGTCCTTGAGAGAGCCTTTCCTAGCTCCTGACTTAGAAACGTAGGCCCCAGACCTGCAATCTTACAGGTACTCCAACCAACGCTTTAAAACTTTGTTATTTTTCAGGGTTGAACAAGAGCGACAGAAACGAAAGGAAAAAAAAATCCGTATAAGCCAATGGTTTTCTGGAAGAAAATAGCCCCATTGCCTTGAGGTTTCTATTTTTTTTTTTTTTTAACTTATCAACAGCATACTAGAGCAGGATAAGAAATCAAGTCAGGCCCCTTGGAATTTTGACATTATTTGAAAAAATTCCCACTTCTGATATTTCTTTTGCTAAAGGTTTTGCTTGAAAATGTTTCTTCTCTAAGTGTTTGGAAATTTAAATTATTTGTCTTTTGAGTCTGAACATTCTCCTTCACCTTGATTTTCTTTTATAATTTTAAATTGATCACATAGAAGTAGCGATATTTAACACATTACCAAGGAAATAAGGAGAAATTTGAACTTTTGTTGTGTAGCCCTCTGTTGTAAATTTCTTCTCTCCTTTAGCCTGCAAAAATATATGTTTATGTAGACTAGATTGGTTTTAAATTCTGTTGTAATGTGTCATAAGATCATTTGTGTCTTGAGGATAGATTCTAATGTATTTTCACTTGTATGAAATATGGAAAGTTTGTAGGTTGCCACTACCACTCTGGGAAAATGGCGGATGACGAAGAATATGAGGAGGTGGTGGAGGTAAGATTTTAAACAGCCCCAACTCTGACAGCAAACTATTTTATGCAGTGACAATCAAAGCTGTGTAGGTGAATCAATCATTTGAAAAATACATTGTCTATTATAACTTTACAAAGCACCATCATTAGAGCTTAAGAAAGGTATATTTTACGTTCAGTTTCACTATAATTATGTGGGATTTAAAATTGAAAGGAAATATCACTGTTTCCCAGTTTTGCTTTTCTTTAAACTCTCAAAAAACAAAATGTACATTACGGTCAAGTTTTACTTTGTCTTATAAAACTGCTTTCTTTCCCAGTGGAGTGCCAGTGACTCAAGCCTACATTCCTAGCTATTTGGGAGGCTGAGACCAAGAGGATCATGGTTCAAGGCCAGCCTGGGCAAATAGTTTGCAAGATCCCATCTCTAAAATAACCAAAACAAAATGGATTGGAAGTGTGGCTCAAGTGGTAGAGTGCCTGCTTTGCAAATGCAAAGCCCTGAGTTCAAACCCAAGACACACACACACACACACCACACACCACAACACACACACACACACACACACACACAAGTTTCTTTCCCACCTCCCAATCTGAATGATCAAAGGGACTGAAGCCCCAAGGAGAGTTCTGAAAACAGGGCTGTTTCTCAGTGCCTGAGCTTCGACAGAATGAAGGAGCTCCTCCTCACTCTTTGCTTTACCTAGTTGACTATGTGTAGAGCCATGCAGGCTGCACTCAGAACCACTGTACATATGAGATTTCACATACACGCCACAGACACACTCATATACATTAATAAACTTGTGAAGGTCGCAAGTGTCACAGTCACTTTCCCATTGACTCCATTATATGTGTGCAAATCAACAGGACTAGCTTTTGCTTTTGAATCTTTAGTAAGAACAAAGACCAGAGTGGGTATCTTACAGTTTTCCTCCAAATTGACATCTGACACATTTTACAAAGTTGCTAATTGTTTGTTTTGTATTTATTTTATATCATTTTGTTTTGTTCATGTTTTGGCTTTTCTTTACCAGCTTCACATTCTAGAAATAAAATTGAAAGGCCTGGGGCTATAATACACATAAATACATTGCCACCAACATGAAAGTGTTTAATAATTTCCAGTTAATGATGATTTAAACATATGAAAATGTCTAAGTGCCAAAGGGACTAGGAGGCAGTTTTGAAAATCTGTGCTTTTTAATAAGTCTGAAATTAACTATAAGAGCCACCTCAAAGAGAATTCCGGATGAAAGTGCCAAAGTTTGTCTTTGGTGACCAGTCTCTATTTAGATGAAGAAAATTTTACTATATTCCATAAATAAAATTACTTTTTGATTTTTTTTGAGATAGGTCTTACTATGCAGCTCAGACTGACCTTGAACCTTTTCCTACCTTAGCCTCCTGAGTGCTGGGATTACAGATCTGTGTCACCTCACTCAGCTTAAAATTACCTTTATTACTGAAGGATATTTAAAAAAAAAAAAACAGAATGAATGTCATAGAGTATAGTATTCACCTCTCTGGCTTAAATGCTGATGGCATATCCTCTTTGGTCAATATTATCACCAGTGTGCATTTTATGTATGTCCCTGTGGGTCAGAATTATCACTATCAAGCACTAACACGTTATGAATTATAAATCAAATTATAATTATATATTAAATTGTCTTCCCTATGATGATAATACCAGGAAACCTTTTTAGTCTTCAACTTGAGTATTACCTTGCTTTCTTAAAATAATTGTGTTCACTTGTCACTGGAAATTATCCTTACTGCTAGACTTGATTGATCTAACTAGTCATAAAAATGGAAGGAACTATTTTTAGGCATCCCATCCTTGCCATTTTGTTCCCATTACTGCTTCTGGGTCTGACCAGCAGGTGCTAAACTAATAGAATGCCTGCCAGGGAGTGTTGAAGTGAGGTCTCTTTGGTCTCTGAAAAGATTATGAGAATAGAAGATTCGAGAAAATTGGTCAGGGAAGAGTTCAAAAGACAGAGAGGAACCAGCTTTAAAAATACATGTCCTAGGGATTTTGGGCATCTGGAGTAAAATTTTACTGTCACACTCTACTTAAACTTAAACTTAAGAGAAAAAAGCAAGAATGTACTGTCTAATTAGCGGCATGACTAACAAAGAACGTGGCATGTAACTTAAAGCCAACCATTTGGATAATGTTGTCTTTTTATAAGCTTATTACCAAACATGAGAGCTCCTTTTTCATGGATGCTAAAAAATCCAAAATAGTTTGGAGTTATTCATTTTAGTTTAGTATTTCTTTTCAAGTCACTCATGTTTTGCGTGACCACTGGAATGGCTCCATGTGTCATTAGCATTGAGCAATGTTTCCTAAAGTGTTCAGATGGCATTTCTCATGAGCTAAAGCCCTAAGTATTTTGAAAGAGCATGTGATTACTATTGCTGTGTGTAAGGATATGCAGAAAAAATCAATTTGAAATTTGAAAAATAGCACAAGAGTAAAGAAAGCAGAGCACATTAAGTTTTATTTAGTTGTTACCACAGGTGAAATAGCACAGATGGCATATTGGCAATAGTTAAATACTTAGAGAGTTTACCGAAATAAGAGCAAAAGAAGGCCATTGAGGGAGATTTTTACATTTGTGTTTTGCTCTATACCTCTACCCCCCAAGGACATGTTTTGGTATAGAAAATAAGAGAAAGGAAGTGTAAGTGTTATGCATCTTTCTGACTGAGAAAATGAGCCAAGGATTTCATTTTTATCCCTTTCCTTGTGTGCCTTGGCCTAAATGAGCCTTCCTTCTCATTTGCCCAGCAGAGCTGGTGAGGCTAGGGCTGGGTTCCATTTTCCTTACACATCTGAAACAAAATGTCAGCCAGTTCCTATCTTCATCTATTTATTGCTGCTGATGTCAGGAGGAGAACAAAAGTAGACTCAGTTACAGAGCCAGGCTGCAGGCTCCCTTGCAGCCATTAGTGGCAAATTGTAGCCTAACTTCCCCACATTTTTTGAGGGGGAGGAGTCTTCTGATTTTTTCTTCCTTCCTTTGACATCTACAAATTGTCATCTTAACATCCTGCTAGAGCCATCACACTACTGAAAAGGAGCCAGCCATCACTTCAGAAGAAATTCCTACACCTAGGAACCAGGGCGATATGGGAGCAACTGAGATGTGGCTATGGACTTGGATCTTGTCATTTCCATGATACAATCCATTAAAAATTTTACCCACACTGGAGTTTCCCTTTTGTTTTATTGTTAGTCAACACTGAGTTTTATCATAGTTTTTCTTTGCCCAAACCCCACACTCAGGATATTGTTATTGCATTATTCTTTTCTAAGCAAATTCTATGCTGGGTACCGTAAAGAAAAAATGACAGTTGTCCCAGGAAAACAGCTTCCTCTGATTATAAACCAGCATCAGACACCTTGTTTGTCACTCTGTATCTTTGTGTCCAGTCTGATGCAACATGTTAGCTTTCCTAAAGCTTTACAAGGTGAAAATGGGCCCCAAAGGCGGTTTCTCACCTCATTCCTTCCCACAGATTCCAAAGCAACTAAGCTAGAGTAGTCACTCAGTAGCTCAGCTGAGGCAGAGGAGAGGTAATTGCTGCCTGGGTCCTTATAATGATGCCTTTGTGCTCTGTTTACAGTACTACACGGAGGAGACAATTTACGAAGAGGTGCCAGGAGAGGTAAGGCCCAACCCCCACCTGCATGGACTGATTCTCGAAGCAGGATGAGCCTTCTGCTCCATCAGACCCCCAAGGCCACAAAGATGGCCAAAGGGAGTGTCTGAGGGAAGGCCATCCAGCTGCCTGTGCCCAGAAGCTGGTGCAAAAAGACAAACATTACTTGTTTGCTATTCAGCTTATCTAAGATGGCAAGGAATGGTTTCTCCCATTGCTCATGTGTTTTGTTTTCAGTACTGAGGGCTGGACTCAGGGCCTTGCACTTGCTAGACAGGCACTCTACCACTTGAGCTGTACCCCCTATCATTTTTGAGTTGGTTATTTTTGAGACGGGGTCTTATTTTATGCCTAGGCCCACGATCCTCTAATTTGTGCTTCCTCATGTAGCTGGGATGACAGGTACACACCACTACATCCGACCATTGGTTGAGATAGGGTGTCTCAAACGTTTTGCCTGAGCTGACCTTGGACCAAGATCCTCCTGAGTAGCTAGTATTGCAGTCTTGGGCCATTGTGTCTGGCCCCTGTGGTATTTGTGTGTGTGTGTGTGTGTGTGTGTGTATGGATGTCAGTGGCTATGATCAATCTCTGGCTGCAGCAAGAGGGATGGCATTGAACTTATGACCAAAACAGACATCGTGTAGAGTTGTAACTTGTTGGACACCATCTCTGCCACCAGGGATGGTGCCCCCAAGGCTTTGTCCCTGACAATTCCCTGAAAAAGGCTACTCAGATTTTGGCACATTAAGAATTCTGAGAAAGCCATTCTCATAAATATTCAAGTTGGAACTCTTTTTGTTGTTTTGCTTTCCAAGATGAAATACCTCTCTCATGCTTCATTTTCTGCTTGGAGCTGTTCCCCTTTGAGAGTGATGAATAGTGCTATGCATAGTTAACCCCGAGGCCTACTCAGAGAGCTAGTGACTGCATAAAAACTAGTATCTGCAGATGTTGTAAGTTGGTTGGTTTCTCATAGTCACTCATGCTTTAGTAATGGCAGAGAACAACCAATTTGCAGTGATGTCATGGACGTTCAATTTCCTTATTAGGTTTCTTTTTCTTGATTAATGCTGGAACTCTTCCTTTGCTACAGATATTTGCTATAAAGGAACTGGTACTATGAGATGGATTGAAGATTTGGCTACTTATCTTTCTTTGATACATACAGTATTTTTAACCTTGGAACAGATTCAAACTTTGAGTCTTAGTTTTTTCCACTATAGCCTGCTTGTAAGGAACAGTCATTCCCCACCTACTACATAGACAGGACTGTTGTGAGGATAATTACTCCATTGTGTTGTCACCATTATTTTTATCCACCTAAGCATGTGTTAGTGTACATGGCATTCCACTTCACATTAATTAGCTGACTAAGCCAAGAAAATGGTAATCACTTGCAATATTGACATGATTCACTTTTCTCTAAAGTTCATTATTCTTTGTCTCATACTGTAGACAAGAATGCCTAAATGCCTACAGAAAATGCAACTGATTTTTTTCTTATTCATTTAAAAGTTAATATTGAAGTCAAGAATCTGAGTTTTATTCATTTGTCTTAACCTTTTGTCCCTCAATCTCAAGTTTACATTTACTTTATCCAGACAACTTAAGAAAATTTTCAAATGTTTAGGAATAGTTTATTTCTGGTTTTTCAGTATCTTTTTGCAAATATAATTTCCAGTCAATGTCACAATTTATGTAACTTAACGTGTCTTCATATGAATGTACTGTGTAGCTTCCTGCATTGGCCAATTTTTAGATGTGGAAAAGTAACGCCAGGAATGTAAAGCTGACTAGAAGTTAGAATAATATATACCAAAAGAATGGTGCATTGGTTTTTACTTTATAACAATGTTGAACTACATGTCAAATTTTCAGACAATAACAGAAGTCTATGAAACTACGACAACAAGGACAATATCTGACTATGACCAAACAGAAACTTCCAAACCAGCACTGGTTCAGCCAGAACCCACAAAGCCGGTGCAGAGGAAGAAGGTCATCCGGAAGAAGGTGGATTCTTCCAAGTTCATGACCCCCTACATTGAGCATAGTCAGAAAATGCAGGATCTTTTTAGTTCAGTAAGTTTCAAAGTTCTATTAAACTGGTTTTATTATTCAGAAGTTACTAACCTTGATGGACTCTGTTTTGAATGCCTGCTGGATTTTTATTCTTCAACCTTGTATGAAACAAAAATTTATCTTACAGAAACAAAGGTTTTTCTTGTGACTTTTGAATTTTCCTTTCATGTACCTCACTTGTGCTATTGCCGCATCAGGGCAAGCATTCTTATGGAAACTTATGGCACTTAAAGCATTTATTGGTATTCAATCAAGTTGTGTAGGATAATGAAATCATGTGGATTTAATTGAGGTCAGTTTGTAGAAGCTAAGGAACATGTTTGAACTATGTCTGAGCAGACTAGCCTCTTAAGTAGAATAACTAACAGTATATAAAAAGGTCTCTAGGAGGTGTGTAGTGAGGAAGAACTCATAGTTGAGAAAACCAAAGACCCCTCTTGAAATTGAGGATCAGAACATTCAACTTTTCCCCAGAACCGGGGTTTTTGACCACAGCTGCACAGTGGAGTCTCCTGCCAGCTTTAAAACTACTGATACCCAGGTTATTCTACTTTAATTGGTCCAAAGCTCATTAGCACAGAGGAGTTTTGAAAGTTTCCCAGGTGATTCTCGTGTTCACCCCTGGCCAAGAATCATCGCTCTTGCTGGTGTCTGGTTCTTAAAGTCCCTTGATTAGCCCTGTAAGTTTTACTGACTGGCAGCAGATTAAAACCCATTTTAATGGATGTGATTTGTTGATATTTTCTGGGGGGCTGAGGTCTCACTAGGTATCTTGAGGAAGTGAAATGTAGCTCAGGGCAACTGGATTATACAGGACTAAAGCTGTCAAAAGTATCCTGTGTAATTGGCCAATAAATAGTCACCTTGGTAAGTGTTAACTCCTAGAAAACGTGGAGTAAATTGCTCTTTCAAATCCCTGAATAACCTAAGACTTAGGTTTCTAATTTCTTGCCTCCTTTATCACTGCAGTATTCAGCAAAGATAGAAAATTATTTTGTTAATTTATTGTCATAAAATCTCATTAATTCAATCATTATGAACCTAGAGTTTCTGATATTCTGAACAGAACGGTAGCAGCATTCTATAATTTTGAAGTGGTTGGTAACTAAGTCAATAATATAGTTTAGATTGCTAGCTACTCCACTCAAGAATACTCTTTGAAGCCTGGACAGTACACATTATGCACATTACTATTAAGGCAAGACTTCATTGTATATTTAGCAGAAATAACAAAATCGCATTCCTTTACAAAATGTTCCATAATTCAGACTTTCCATTAATTTAGCTGGCGTCTCAGCTATCCAAAACACTGAGGTTTAGCTGCAAGTTCTGAATTGAATATTTTTGCATTGTATTAGCAATCAAATCTTTTCAGACTTAACTCATTTTCTGTATTTATTTTCAAAAATAATTGAGGTTCAGGCTTTTTTGCACATTCAAAAAAATTGAGAGAATCATTTTAGGGCATTTCCAAGACAATTATCTGTAATAAATTTCCACTATCTCCAGGATCCAATCATGTTTAGGAAGAGCAATTAACAAATCTATTTTTGTTTTTGCTGAGAGGGCATAGGACAAAATGAAAGCTGTTAAAACTGATAATTGTTGTAACTTGAAGGATTTATTTTACAAAATCAGCTGGGGCTGAGTGTGTTGCCTGTAGTTTCTGTTGCTATCTTGTAGGTTCCAAGGCTAACATCTGATATTCCTTTCAGAATAAATACAAGGAGAAATTTGAGAAAGCCAAAGGACAGCCATATGCCAGCACAACTGATACTCCAGAACTTCGCAGAATCAAGAAAGTACAGGATCAGCTCAGTGAGGTGGGCCACACTGCTAAAGAAGTTTCACACCTGTGCCTCATACTGGGGACTGAGCACTCTAAATACATGCAGAGGAGATAAGGAGTTAAATTACCGTGAGCAAGTTTAGACATGGAGAGAAAACATTGGCTACAGATTACATTGCTGAAAACATAAGCCCAAAGCGACTTCCCAAAGCTTGGCTTAGAAATTAACAGGAGACTATGATAGAAGCTCCAGTGCAGTTTGGTCTTCTACATCAGAACACAGCCCAAGGCTGGAAATTCAGCCAGGAAAACAGACAAGAAGTCGAGGCAGGTACTCTGTGGATCTTTGAAGATCAATCTCTTGGCTAAGATGCAGAAACTTCGCTTTCTGATGCAGACTTAAGACTTCGAGGCACTGAGTTAATGTTCTTTGTTATAAGATATTCTTTAATATACTCACATGGTCACGGCTTTCATGAACTCTAATCACGTGTTATTTCTGCAGGTGAAGTATCGAATAGATGGTGATGTTGCTAAAACTATCTGTCATGTAGATGAAAAAGCAAAAGATATTGAACATGCAAAGAAAGTGTCGCAGCAAGTCAGTAAGGTAAGGCCACAATGCATGGATGGCGGGGTATTCAGCATTAGATTAGAGAATAGACAGCCCGATCCTGCTCACCAGTCCCCCAGGCCGTGTGAACTGAATGCCCTCATCCATGGGGAGATTCCACTGATGACTGAAGTAGCCCATAGAAGCCTCAGGTGAATTGAAGATTTCATGACTTGCCCAAAGAGGCAGCTGCAGCGTGACTCCTCATTCTGTACGCTACACAGAATGCAGTCCCAATGTTGCTGGAGTCTTATTGTTTATTTATTTTTGTTCATTTGTTTTGTGCTAATGGGAATTGAATTCAGGGCCTTGTGCATGGTAGGCAAGCACTGTACCACATGAGCCATGCCTTCAGACAGGCTTGTTTTTGAGAGAGGGTCTTGTTAACTTTTGCTCAGGTTGGCCTCAGACCTCCATCCTCCAATCTGCACCTCTGGATTAGCTGGGAATACAGTTGTGAACTACCATGCCCAGCAAATGAGAAATTTCAAATGTGGGTAACTCATTGAAAAATATTTTAGAATATCATGCAAGTCAAAAGAAACATGTCTGCCAGAGAAACGAGTCAATTACTGATTAGGTACAAGCTTTAAAAGAAATCTATAGAGAATCAGAATCATGAATTACTTTAAAAAGATTAGGGTTTTTCAAGACAAAGTTTACTAATGCAGGGAAAATGCCAGAGGATGTCAATTGGTCAGTGTATTGCTTTTGGTGCATGGGCACCTTCATCACTGTTCTTTAAATCCTCATGTGTAGATGAGCCATCAGTCCACATGTCTTCTGTTCTTTCTGCCTAGGTTTTATACAAGCAGAACTGGGAAGACACCAAGGATAAGTACCTGCTTCCCCCTGATGCTCCCGAACTTGTCCAGGCTATTAAGAACACAGCCATGTTCAGCAAGGTAAGAGCCTCTGCCGCATTACCACATCCAGCTTCCTCTGTCATCCCACCATGTGCTTGAGAGCAATGCCTTATAAACTTGACAGTCGGAAATACTGTCCCCAATCTTTTGTGAGTAGCTTTGAGCTGCCTAGGGCTTGGCAAAGGGGAGCCCCAGCTCAAGGAGAGTGGCAGTATCCTTGGGGACCCTGAGCAACCTAGCAGGGAAAACATGGAGAGAATGAAGCTAAGAGATCAACAAAGTAGAATTTTACTTTTCTATGGACCCTGTGCTACCTTTGTATATCTCTGCCTATTATTCTTATTAGAGGTTAGTTTTGTGACAACAGCTATGGAAAATGCTTCCTGATTCCTATACCAGACTTATATCACTTGGTGCAGGAGGCAGGTAAAGTCACAGGGAGGAACTGAAACAAAGATAGACACATCTGCTTTCCCCCAAAATAAGATTTTTCAGGAGAAGCAGAATAAACTATTTTTAAAAGTGAGTTGGATTGAATGAAAAGGGGGATTTTTTCTGTGAATTTTGTATACCTTTGCTCTCACCTCACCCTTCATTTCTTATGCCATTGACAAATGAGTAAAAAATTGTGTACTTTACGGAATATGGTCCCGTTTTCTCAAACCTTTTCTTCTTCTTCTGATTTAGAAACTCTACACTGAAGACTGGGAGGCAGACAAAGGTTTGTTTTACCCCTATCACGACAGCCCGGAACTGAGGAGGGTCGCCCAGGCCCAGAAAGCTCTCAGTGATGTAAGTCAGGTGCACTTGGCACCATTGGCATGTGGAGTCAGGGAAACTTGGGTCACATCTTCTGATCAGATGTTTTTTGCAACTTTTCTTTCAAAAAGACTACAAGCCATTATTACAGAGGGCTACATCCAGAATCATAATTTATGACATCTGATTTAACTTGAATCTGAATTATACTTTCTATTAGATATAATTTAGTCCAACCTCTCCTTCTTAAGGTGAGAAACCTGAGGCTAAGGTCACGTACATAGTGGCAGAGCCCAGACTTGTGATCTCAAGACCAATGTTCTTCCCAGCAGAGCATGAATCATTATTTCCAGTTGGTTCTGTGGCAGTGGACATTTTCTAAACCACTCTTTGGAATCACAGACACCTTTGCAAGTGCATTTTAAGTAAACAATGTTGGTGAGAGGCTTTGCTCTGCTAAACCTAATCATCAAGTCTGAATTGTACTGTATCTGTCTTTTCTGCATGGGGGACCTGACTGATACACTTATTGAAACATGTTTATGTAGTTATCCACAAAGAGCTCTTGGTAGTGGTAGACACAGAGGATATTTCTGAGTTAGCAAAAACTCAGCAGTCCCACTTGATAGAATTCTAATACCATAGACCTTAAAAATGGTAAATAAGAGAAACTAAAAAGACTCAAGAGTCCTCAGCATTGAGAACAGCCACACACAGCAGAGAGCCCCATTGAGGCCTAGAATGTGCCCTTGTTTTGAGGTATTTCATTTCTTGACCCCTGGATTTTCTGGGAGACATTGAAAAATCCAAAGGTGACTGCTCTAGACTTTAGCAGAACACTGCATTATAAAATGACATGTTATTTGATACTCAGCTATCAACTAGACTCCTGAAACTTCTTTTTCTCAATACAGCCTTAACAAACCACTTATGATTTACTGAGATTTACTTCCAATTGATTTTAGGGTCCTGTTCATGCCCTGAACTGAAGTTATACATACTCATTTGATGGCATGTCCAACTTTTGAGGTCTGAATTTTATTGCCTCTCATTTAATATCACATGCAAATTTTTAGTGGACACATTTGCTATCCTACTTTCCACATGATTAGTTAAAATACAGCTCAGATAAACTCTTACCCTTCCATGGGGCAAATTAGGAAAGAAAGTAGGCATAACAAGATTTTGAAGTCATCTAGGACTTGGTACCAATTTTAGTGTGGAGGCACTTCCTGCTTTTCTTTTAAGATGAGCCTTTTGGTTCTGTATCTCATGAATTCATATTATGAGGCCTTTATCAAATGATCAATATCAATGTATTGAAAGTCCATTATGCAGGTATACCTGGCAGGATAGAAAAGTACTGTAAGTTTTTATCTTCTCTCCTGAGATTTTATCATTATGCTGACAAGATGAAAGTAGTATACATCAAACAAGAAAAAAAATGAAAGCAAAACACAGCAGTCACAATAGTCTAATTCTTGCCTTGAGAAAGAGCACACAGAATTGATCACAGAAGGTCGTGTGAGGTAGTAATGCAGAGGACAGGGGTAGAGATGAAGAAGAAACACATTTCACATTGAGGGAGCACTGGGACAAATGGACAAAGGTGAAATGAGTCTGGAACATCAGAGAACAACAAAAATGAATGATGTGGTTGCCTCTTTTGGAAGCCACTTGTGAGATTGCTGGCAGCAGGACATTAAAAAGCAGACAAAATATCTCTGTGAAAATAGGATAGTCAAGAAGAGGCATCATGAGAGTCTGGAGAGAAAGACAATATGACAAAAGCAGAATCTGGGAACTTTTGATAGACAGTATGGTGAATTGGGACTGAGAAAACTAGAAATTGTTATTGTCTGTACAAATCTGACTCATATAGATGAGTCAGAATGATGATAGGGTCAGAGGAAGAGAAGAAAGGAGTCTGAAGGAGGTAAGTATTAACAAGAGTTAATAACATTGGATATTGAAGATAAGGAAGAATGGAGTCATAGATGACCATAGATAGGTCATCTGGGTGAATTAGGGGTACCTCTTGTAAAGATGTGTTAATGTCTTAAAAGACTTAAGATAATGGAAGGAACATTCAAATCAAGACATCCTATGGATAAATTAGAAATATAGTACCATTGCAGATAAGAACTTGATATTTAAAAGTTATCAGAACAAAAGTAATAGCTGAAGACATGAAATGTATGAGGAGGCAGAGGAACATGTGGCCAAGGGCAGAGGATTAGAGGACACTTGAGTGTAGGACATCTGGAAAAGAGCCAGGAAGAGGACAAGGGAACAAACAGAGAGGTTGAAGGGGAACCAGGAAATGCCATGTTACATAAGCCTAGGGAAGGGAAGGTTATCCAAGAAGACACTTAATCTCCCAGTGTCTCCTTTTATCCGTAAAACAGAGAGATGAAGGATTAGCTCCATGCCACCCTGGTGTTACGGACTTGGAACACTGAAAGTTGGCTACATTTTTGAGATATTACAACACAGGACACAATGACAAAGAGTATACAAAAATGAAGTAAAATCTTCCCCCACTCTTCCTCAGGGGGACTTGGCAGTTAAGATATAGCTTTTATTTTTATTGCAGACCAAGTACATACTAAGTATCAGATTACCAACATAGCTATTAATCTATTGTCAGCACCATGAGCTTCTGCAATCGTTGGGTACAGAGCTGTAAGCCTGCTGCTGCTCACAGCACATCCCACTGGGTAGGCATGGAGCCTTCACGCTAAGGGCTTGGATTTAGAGGCTCCCTCTCCCTCTCCCTCTCCTCTCCTGTCCCTCTCTCTCTCCCTCTCCTCTCCTCTCTCTCTCCCTCTCCCTCTCCCAAGCCTTTTTCCTGGGCCTCTCGTAACTTTGCTTATTATGCTTTCCTCATTATCTCAGTAGAAACAAAATACTGTGCAAACACGAAAAGAGTCTTTAAGCAGATCTGGAGCACAGAACTCCTAACTAAACAGAATTCTGAACAAGGTTCCTGAGAGAAATAGGACTTCTAGGTCTGATTTCTCAGAAACTTCTTGACAGGATGTCATACTTAATAAGCATTTCTCTTGTTTGAATGTTAAACTTCTCCCTAAGGATTTAGCCAGTTATGGAAAATTCCAGTTGCCCTATGCCTAAAATAAAGTCTTTACTTACTTAAAAAAATAAGCAGTGCGATTTATACATTTTATATATTTTTAAAAGTATCTTTTGTACCCCAGTTGATTTGATGTTCATGAAAACTTTTGTTAGAGGCACTACATACATATTATTAGGACAAGGTATAGATCTAGTTAAAGCATAGGATGATTAGGACCTTGGAATTATCCAATTTCTTTTTTATATATAAATAAAAGTATTGCCATGTGAAAGGGAAAATGATTGGTTAAAGTCTCACAGTTGTATGATGGAAGTTGGGAGGACAATTCTGTTCAGACTTGTTCTTCATGGCCCCAGTGTGTAAAGCACACATTCAGAAGTCAGTCATTGAGCCCTCCCTCTGATCAGGCACCATGCAGGCCATGAAGTTCCTAATGAGAGGCCATTCCTCTGCCATCCCTGAGCTCATAGTCAAAGGCAGAACAGAGTAAACAACTAGTTCCAGTGTCATCAGAGAACCTCCTTAAAGGAGACAAGGGCCATGTTGCTTGAGTCCCAGAAAAGGGACAATCAGGAAGGAGTCAGGAAAGATGTTCTAAGATGTGGAGAAGGAGTGACAGTTTTCAGGCACGTGGGGAGGGTGGAGTTGGGATGTTACAAAGAGAAGGAACAGCATAGATGAGAATTGGAGGATTGCATGTGTCTGAGAAATCTATGAATAGTTTTTCTGCACAGGGTGTAGCTTAGTGATAAAGCACTTGCCTAGCATGCACAATGCCCTGGATTTAATCTCTGTCTCTGTCTGTCTGTCTGTCTGTCTCTCTCTC